TATTTTGCAGATAAATTTTGTTCTAAATTATATATAAGATATAAGAATAAAACTGGACTCAATCCCTGGATAAACTCTGAAACTTCTGAATCCTCACAAAGCAAAAATGCTGATAATCATCTTTCATGAAACTGTATCATCAAAATTTCCGAATTTCCAGAAGAGAAAGGTATAATTATTGAAGCAGTACAGAACCCATCCCCTTTCTTGAAATATACTAATTCAAATGCATGGTATCGAGATGTATTTAAATATACCGATTCAGAAGCTAAATGCCTGATATGCAAAGAAGTACATACTCGTTTAGGAATATGGGGGTGATTGGAGCTGTCTAGGTAAGAATGATCACTATTATTTTAATTGCCCCTTTCGTATCGATCAAAAGAAGCTATTAATTGCTTTGCAGGCTTAGATGAACAAATGCGAAAGAACCTTCATTAGTAGGTCACGGTTCAGATGCAAAGCATCCTCATTCCAGGAGACAAATAAAAATTATGGGTGGAATCGAAATAACAGTATAAATAGTGACCAATACTTATTTACACGATCGCATAAAAATAAAAAATTAGGAGCCCACCGGACCCCTCTCTTTATTTAATAAAAAATTGCCAGGACGACAATGTAAAAATAAAAAATATATATATCGCTGTTACAGATGCGAATACAAATATTTGGTGAGGAGAGTAAATAAATATGAACTCCATCCAGTGTTTAAAATTGGCTTGCACAAGATGCACATGTGCAAGAATTTTTTTGGATTTTTTAAAAATCCATTAAGTGTGCAAGTAAAATTTTTAAAAAAAGTTGCACAAAATGCATTTGTGCAAGTAATTTTTTTTTTGAATTTTAAACACTGACTCCATCAGAGGGACTAGTAGGAAAGGCTTTAGAAATTCTACACATTGGTGACCACCGGGGGATAGAGAAAGACGGATTTTAGTAGAAGGAACGGAATTGAAAAAGGGTTTTTTACCATATCTTTGACCAATTCATACTTTTTATCATTAGAAATCTCAATTGTAAAAATTTCATCTTCGGAGTATGTTTTATTATCATCATTAAGGAGGACACAGTTAAGGTTAATAATTGCCATTTTGAAGGGACTCAGCAAGAAATAAAATCCCATAGTTAGTAGAAAGTAACTTTAGAAATCAAAAACCTCTAGTAGCGAACAATATACAATAACCAAACCTTAGAAGATCCATGCCACCTACTCTACTCTTACTACAGTACTATTGACTCACTAGTTTAAGAAACGGAACTGCCAGGCGTAGGATCGACGGGCTTCCGACCCTAAAATTCGCCAATGAAAAGGATAAAGTGTAACAAACGTCATTTTGAAAAAAAATGGGAATATCTCAAATTTAGCTTAATTAACCGTCTTCGATGCCCTATCTAAAAAGTTTCGACGTACAATTTTACTATACTATAACCTTTCTCTAACTCTCACCCTAGTCTAAACGAACCCAAACCCTAACGTAAACTAAATTTTTAAGTTTTTCGAAGTAGCCCGTTTTGGAAAATCGATCCTACGCCCTGTCAAACTGGCATAGAGACTATCTTCTAGATAACATTTTAAATTGCAGACTTTTTTTAATTGCTATTTAACTGTTAATTAGGGATGTTAAATTGCGAATCCAGTTCGGTCCGATCCTAGGATCTAAAAAGACAGTCCTGGACTCGATCCTTTAAATCACATGAAAATACAATACATTTATAGGACTTAGATCCTGTATCAGATCCTAAATTGAATCTATCGAATAAGTCATCCAATCAATAATTCAATTCAGGATTGTGTTTTCATGTGATTTAAGGACCGAGTTCTTACCGATCCTGCAGGTCCTTGTAAGGACCGGTTAGGATTCGGTCCCAAAAGACCGATTAACATCCCTACTGTTAATTGATGTACCTGGTACGTACAATATTGTACTGTACGTACATTAAATAGCGGCAATTCCATAACAAAAATCTGCTTAGTAAGCATAAATCTAAGAGAACAGAATTTCGATAGTACTGTACTACATTCTATATACTACGTATAGCAAACTCATTATGATGTATTCTCTACTGGAAAACACTATTATTTCTATTCTAAATAAGTTGTCAATTCTTAATAATAATTTTGTCAATCATAACACCGATGTTAAACAACGCAAAAAAATCTTTACAATGGACGAGAAACATAATTATAATTCATCCAGTGAGACAATTTTCAATCTCACGATCAAATCAATTTTTAAATATCATTGGAAATGTTAGAAGAAATG